CCCCAAAACCCCAAAACCCCAAAACCCCTTGATATTTACTTAATGAAAATTTATATAATCTGAAAATAAAAAAATCAAACTATTTCATCCGCACTATTATAATTTAGCGCTTTCAAAATCATTATTATCAATTATTTCTTCTAGGGCAAGAAAAGAAATGCTGGAGAATGGCCAGGATCAATAGCATCTTTCTAAATAATTGCCTAAAGGAAATTCATTTATTTTTTACTCTTGGAGCCTTTAGTTGAGCTATCTTATCCAAAATTGCTCAAGTTTGCTCTTACATCTGCATTCATAGATAATGCTTTGTGATCTCTTGAGATAATATGCTTTAGAGTAGGTGTAATCAATGGTGAAATACCATTATGACTCTAGAGCAAAGTTGTTGCGAGTAAGCTTTATATATAAGACACCTTCATTTCTTCTAAAAAGGGGTCTAATTCATCAAATAAAAGTGCTGTTTTTACTTTCAATAGCTTTTATAAACGGTTTAATTCATTTGTCTTATCTTCAATGTTTTATACTTGCATGAATCTTAATTTTTGAGTTCTCCAAATTATAAACCTAATTGAAAACTGAGTCATTGCATAAATCATGTAATTTTCAACGAATACATCCCTAATTTATTCATTCATTATAGCTAGTTTTGTAAGATAAGGCTTCAACTTTTTAGCATTCTTTTTATTTGCAACAAAATATTTAGTAAGACTGATTTTTTCCTTTTCCCAGTACTCTTTTAGGAATTCTATTCTTGATTTCATTGACGCTTTTCTATTTTTAAAAGATCTTTGCAAATGCAAAACTAATCAATAGAAAATAATTAAAAAATTAAATATTATTACTTTTTTAATGGAAAGACCTAAATATATTCTTCATTTTGAATTCTTCTGCTGTGTGCATGAGAAGATCAACAATTATAGCTTTTGAAAAAGATTCATACTTTTAAATACAGATTTATGACGCGGAGATAAATGTGCTAAAAAATTAAGCTCTAGATAAACTTACTGCCTCAATATATTTGAGTTTCTTTCAGACACATTTACTCCTTTTCTTAAGATGACTCTCTTATAGAACTTTCCTATTCTTTTTTGCATTAACACTCTTTTCTCTTCAAATCTTTTTTTCTCTCTATTTTAATTAAATACTTAGTAAATTTCCTTGATGATTTTGCTAATCAGTATCATCTTGGCAAGTTCACTTGAACGAGTAAGCCTCTATATTTTTTTCATTTGAACTTCTATCATTTCCTATTTTTTGACTTTGATAATCTCCCATTTGTGCAACAGAAAATACTTCTTTTTTCTCTCATATTCCTCAAGTCTTGACTTCTTTACAGAGACTTAGTTACAATGAGTAGATATCTAGCCTTTTATTGCTTTCAATTTTCTATCTTTAATTTCATTCCATTTTTTCATCAAAATTTTATTCTTATTGACAAAGTCCTATGGTTAAATTCGTCTCATGCTTTTATCGTGGTCTTTTAAAAGTTCTATTTTAATGTGTTGATAAAGTGATAATAGCTTACAGTCAAAATTTTCTTCAATGTCTCTTAAATCATGTATAACCTCAACTTCAACCTCTTTTCCTTCTTCATTTATTTATAACTCTCTGATTGTGACAATCTTCTTTCTGCCTCCTCCAATATAGTCATCAATAACTTCCTAGGGAAAATTAACAGTCACAGTTAAAGAGCATCCTATTATTGAGCAAAATGATATATAGATGTATTCACAGTCAAATTTATCCTCATCCTGACTTCTGAAAACAAATTTTGAAGTCTAAATAGTAATAAATTATCTTCTTTTAATTGATTTACATTTGCAAATTGTTTTTCACAATGAGCATCACTGGGTTCTCTATGAATAGTGCTTGCATAAATCTTAACATCCTTAACCTGCCGTTTAGCTGTCTCTCCTCTGTAGTCTATATGAAAAATAGCTGGACTTTTATAACCTTTTGGATTAATCCTGCAATAAGCAGGTTACTCTTCAATAACCTCTACTTCAATAGGTCTTCCAACCATGAGATTTTAGTGTATATTCTCAGTAGCTATAATTCTTAGTAACTTATAATTCAAGGTTTTAATCTCTCTATTCGTTTAAAATATCAATTCTTTACAATCTATTTAATCTAAATTTTTTGGATAATTCCCACTATTGATCTCTGCCATTTGCAACTTTTCTAGATATTATTGAAGTTCTTCGTTAGTCTCCTAAGTTCTCTAAGTTAGACCTTGCTTTAGTTTAACATCCTATAAATTTGATGTGCTCATCAGAATTGATTGCTAGTCATGGATAGATGAAAAGTGATTAAAGTTTTTATTTGTTATTTATCTAGCTTTTCTAGCACTTTAAAATTTGTATCTTCCTGATTAATTAGCCATCTATATGAAACTTAAGTCTTCTTCTGCTGCTTGATGGGTACTTTGAAACATTAAACCTTACCGATTATTTGATATATTGCTCATTGGTCTTTAAGTTTGGTTTCCTGAATTAAATTTATTTAAGGTATTCCAACTGCTGTTTGTATTGAACTAAGCTAAATTACCACCAAAAGCAGGGCTCATGATTCTTGGATTAATGGTTTCTATAGTTTCTGGTCTATTGCTTGATAAAAACCCTTGCTATTTATTTGAGGATTTATTATCTCTTATTATTTAGAATGTTTGATACATATGTTACGACTAATTAACACTTTCGTTTTTTTTCTATTTGCTATCTCTTGATGCTCTTAAATTTAGGAATCTACTGCCCTAACCTGTTTTGATTCTCTCAGGTGCTAAAATATTATATTAGAATAAATAAATATAACTTACTTTAAGTATTCTAAGAATCCATTAATCTTTATTAAGAGCTTAAGACGCTTCTTTCAAAGCTATTAGTTAGCTGTTTCTTAAGCATCTTGCTTAACTGTTACTTATAGTTTTCCATAATTTATTGCTTCATATTATGAAGTCTATGTTTGCTTTTGTCATAGCTGTTTTCTCTTAATTTCGGTGAGCCCACGACATCTGTGCCTGTTCGCAAAATATATTAATCCATACTTATTTCTCAATTAATTTATTTAAGTGAAATTTAATAAGATCATTAATTTTTATTTCTTTATCATTTTAATCTACTCTCTCTTAGGGGTTTTGGGGTTTAAAATTTTTCTACA